CATACCCCAGCTTGCTCTCCATGTGACACACAGACAGGGAGAGAAGCCTGGGGTCAGAGCGCAGGGTCAGCCATTGTACAGCGCCCCTGGAGCAGTTGGGGTTAAGGGCCCAAAGGAGTAGGATTCCTCTGCTGTCTGCGGGATTTGAACCGGCAACCTTCCATCTACAGCATTCCTGAATGTTGTATTTCTGCAAGACTACAACTTTTGAGCATCTTTTAGATACTATATATAGTACAAGTCTGAGGTAATTAGGTTAATTGTACAATTAAATTATCAAGTGAGAACAAAAACAAGATAGTGTCTTGAATTCCCATAGTGATCCTATTAAAAAATCTCGCAGCATCAGGAAGCACAGTAGTAGAAATTATAGCAGAATTCTGATAAGTCACACTGAAAATCTCCAGGAAAAGTCTCTGCGCTTTTTTGCTGCCCCAGTGTCAGCAGAAACTTCTTGCTGTTGACACATGGTTGTGTATGGAAAAATAAGTCTTGCACGATAAGTCATTTTTATGTAGGCCTTTTAGTTTGGCAAAATTAATTTCTTGGGAGGTTCATGTCAGATGTCTCTATTTTCAGTTTTAAAGGCATCTCCAAAATGAATATTTATATTTGTAGCATGCTGACGCTGAAAGGATTTTGTGTGACTGGAGATATCTGTTAAACAGTCACCTTGCTCTATATTTCAGTATATCGATAATCTTGTATGCAGTAAGTCAGTCTTCATTTTTCTTAGACCATAGTTCCAAAACATAGAAAGAAAACAGAATATGTATTTTAACATATATAAACAAGCTTAATATTTTATGGAATTTTCCTGAGTATATTGGGACATGGTCATTCATTTCTTTTATTTAGCGTTTTTCCATTTTCCTTCATTTTAACTTTGTGATACCCACACAAATTGTACAGGTATAATGTTGATATGCATCTTAAATGCAACTAAAATGTATAAGGTAGATATGCATGAAACAAATGAGGCGAAATCAGCCACTTTATCCTTTTCTAGATGTTTTTCTTCTCTTTTCATTTAGGATATTTCTTCTAGGCTCTGTTATCATATCTGAATGCGTTTGTCCCATGACACAATAAGGTTGAAATGTAAGGAACTGACTCTGTGATTTACCGTAATGGAATGATATATGAATAAATGAAGAAATGAAAATAGTATTTGTAATAAAATTAATATGTAACGATTTAAATAGAAATAAAATACAGTCCTTCCAATGTCATACAACATCATAGCAGCTTATCCAACATTATACATTTTCAGATATCTAAAATGTGAAATATTTGTCTTATTTTCAGTATTTGTAAAAAATTTTGGTCTAGATTTTGCATTTTGGGCAGAAGAAATATTAAAAATCTGATGTTTCATGAACCTCAACAGGAAACAAGTAACAACTCGCTAGAGTGTTCTAGATTATTTCTTAGTCAGTTGTTCAGTTCCCCTTCCAAAAGATTTGTGTTGTTCAATTTCTGACTCACAGTAGCTTCTGACCTCTTATCACAGCTTAAATGTTCCACCCTTTCAGACTTCTCCAAGTAGGAAATGGCACTATGTGAAACCTTATTTTTGCTTTTTGGAAAATAATGTAATTGATTTATTCTCTAAAATACTGCTAATGTACAGAATCTGAGCAAAAACAATGCTTGGTATAACAAGGAAAATGGCTTTTATTTAAAATTTTAAGCAACTGAATTGACTTTTCACATGTTTTGCAGTGAACTCTTAGATATTTTTTGTAAACAGCTAAATTATGATTCCATAGTGTCCTGTTTGAACATCCAGTCATACTTCCTAAACTTTCTAATATAAAGTAGAAAGCAGACCAGACAGATGGTAAAAAAATTAAGTATTTATTTTGCTGTCATGAAGCAGTTGTTCTAAGTACACAATGCTCAGATAGTGAAGAAAAGGAGCAAAAAGGATTATTTTGTATCCAGAAGGATGGACCTTTCCTGAGGATATTACTGAACTGCACATTTTCTCATAGCAATGCAGTAAATAAGAAAACTGTATTAGAAGCATTTGTTACGATAAAACCCACAGGAAATGGCCAAAAAACTGATTCTGTAACACCTGCCTAGAAATGTGAGAATAAATCTGAATTTCTTATTTTATTGTTGGATGGCATCAATTCCACTTATAATCACTCTTAGAAGAGGTGGTGGTGGCTTTTTGCTAAGGATATACAAGTTCAAAAAAGTAAAAACATGTAGCAAACGTTCACAACAATTAGTTTCATTCCTCTACATACCCGCATTCAGCACACAGCAGAAACAATTCAGTCATGTTGTGGCTCCTGCTACAGAAATCCTCATCATTTGCATCAGCTTCATCTGAACAACAAAAAAAGGCTTCTCCTTCATTTTACATCCCCCATTTAACTCTTTGCCTTGACTCTCAGGTCCTAGGGCTTGTGTATCTACAGATTTTCAGTCTAGCGGAGCTCTTAATGATCTTAACCAGCTTTATATTAGCTTATTTGGACGATCTACACTTCCTCTCAGCTCTTCGACACTTATAGATATACTGGCAATCCAGGCTCAGGATTGGGGTACACTCTACCTTACGTGTTTGTAAACATTTCTAATGGGTATACATTTCTAATTATGCATTTTTTTTCTTTTACCAGCAGGACATGACCAGATATTTTAAAAGTTTTTTCAGTTACACTGTCTCTTTTTAGTATAGTTCATATTTGTTTTATTTACTCTTTGTTTTCCTTCTTTCTTTGCTTATGCTGT